CCAGGGCATAGCGGCACCTTGTGTTCCTCATGCCACCTTGCCTGTGTTGGCCTCTTAGTGTGCGGGGGGAGTGAGGTCAGCAGTACATTCTGCTCACGTGTGCGGCTGGTTTCATTTCTACCCAGTTCTGTTCCTCAGACAAGGCAGGGACTTTGGGGCAGGACGGAAGTCCTGCACCCTCAGTCTTGGGCCAGGACATCAATAAGGTCTTTGGTCAGTTCAGAGCAGCCCTGCTTGTGCTGTGGGCTCAGCGTTGGGTTACTAGCCGCCAGGTCAGTGGTTCTCACCCACCAGCTGCCCCGCCACAGGAGAAGGGAGAGGCTGCTGCCCAGAGAGGGGTGCTCTGAGTCAGAACCGACAGTCAGAACTGACTGGGAGGCAGTGATCCCTGTGAGATGTCTGAGGTCCTTAGTGCTATGAGCACAGCGTTTGTGAAGACCCCGAGCAGGGCATGTGGCTCACCTTCTGGGGAGGCCTTTGGGTGTTAGTCTTGTGGAAGGTTCTAAGGTGTGCCTCTGAAGTCAGGAGGTGCTGAGGAAGAAAGGGGATGAGAAAGTGGGCATAAAACAGTGGACCACATTTAAAGTCCCCAGGCTCAGTCTTCAGACAAGGAGAGAAGGTGCTGGGTCCCCTGAGGCTCTCCATGGGAGCTGGGTGCTTTGTTTAAAAGCCACCGGAGCCCCCAGGCCATACCTCCTCCCCCTCCTCACACGGGATGGTCTTGCAGAGCCTGGGGGTTAAAAGCACAACTTGGCAATTTGTTTCCATCGGCCAATTTTATCACGTACGAATTAGCCATTGACCTCCAAGCTTCCAGCAGCCTGCAACTAGCAGTAAGAGTGGATGTCCAGGCCCTGCTAGCAGACCCTGCGTGGGAGGATCATTTGCCGGCCTCAGAATCCCAGGGCAGAACCTTGTAAATGCATACAAATCATGGCCCCGGCCTGCTCCGCCTGCTGGCACCTTTTCACAGGCTGCCGAGTCTTCCCTGTGGACTCTCCGGGGACACACTGTGTGTCGCTCTGCCCGCCCTAGTGCCCAGCCTGGCCGAGTGCACTGTGTTTGACGACAACACAACCTGTTTGGATGGCAGCTCCCTCCAAACGTCGTGTCTTGGGGGTTGTTGTTGTTTTTAATACAGTAGGAATGCCAGCGACTCAATGTCATTAGCTCCACTGCAGGATGACAGAAGTGTTGTGTGAAGACCATTGTGTTTGCCACACGGTCACTCTTCATTTCAGAACAAACAAATGGGTGGTCTCTGTAAATCTGCCAACACTGGTGACATTCAGCCTTGTATGGTCCTTCCCACACGTTGCAGCCTTCGGGCTCCAGAAGCTTCTATCTGAATCCTTAGTGCCTCTTACGCGAGAGAAACTTTAGCAGGGAGTTCTAATTTCGGGGGTTGCCGCCACATTCTCTCTGGCTTGCACGGTGCCCCGTCCAGGACCAAGCCCAAGGGTGGAAGGAGGAGAGCGACGAAGCTCTTTGGTTCACAAGGCAACTTCCCCGCTGGCAGGGACTGGCATGTTAGGAGGGAGGAAGAGGATGCTTGCTGTCCGAACCCAGGTCCACTCACTCGGTAAACAAATGCTCCAGGAATGCCCGGCAAGCACCGCTGTCTGAGCCCATCACTGTCTTCAGCTGGGTCCAGGGACCTTGGCTTTGAGCGCAGGGCTCTCCCTTCCCAGGGTGCTAGATCAAAGCGAGGTTGGGAATTGAGTCGTCCTGACACGTGCCACTTCTTAGCTGTTGCCGGCATCAGTCTCTCCCTCGCCCCCAGCCCCGACGTTGTGTGCAGAGCCTAGCTTTCCAATAAGTAGTAATTATCTCCTATCACTTAGCGCTGATCAACGGCACCTCTATGTCTAATTGCCAAGCGACTCTAATCATGTCGACTCTCTCTGCTTCAGCCAGAGACAGGGAGGCCCACATTTTATAACTATTGCTCTGTTGTCATGATGCCATTAAACAATTAGGGGAGGTGGCCCAGCCCTAGCTCTCCAATGCCTCCAGTCAAAGTGGCCTTTGTATGGTTTAATGAATCTGCACATTTTCTTGCAGGTAAGTGACAACCCCCTGTTGTAGTCCTTCTCTCTGGACTTGCCCTTGTCTGTCCGTGCTCCTCGGTGGTTCTCTGCAGCTTGTTTCCTGTGTACAGTCAAGAGAAGAATGTAGACACATATGTGTGTTGAATCAATAATTACTATTGGCATAGGTATGTGTATACACATGGCACACCAACCTACAGTATATATAGCAAATCATCCTAGAGGCTAAAAATACTGCCCCATATGTCCCTCTATTAGTCATGGATTACCAAGGCTTAGTAACTGGAACAGGAGAGGAAAGCCCCTCAAACCCTTAAATCCTGAGTGACAGATGCTGGTGGATTGGCGGTCACTTCACCGGGGAACAGCCTGACTCGGGGTCTCTTCTGCAAGCTCGCCACCAGCCGCGAGAGGTGGACCCCGGATGGTCTCAATGGCATTACTGCTGATATCTGATCTGTCCTGTATTTTGTAATGCTTTTAGATGAATACCGAAAAGTGCAGTACTTTCTCTTTCTCCATAGTATTTAAGCAGTAATATTGCTAGTTTAATATTGTGTCAGGTCGTTATATTAACCAGGAACAAATGACAGTGAAATTAGAGCCTTGACATCTGCAATTTTCAAAAAAAGAAAAAAAAATACGGTGATTGAAGCAAAATGTGTAAACTTGTACTGGGTTATCGTGTGCTTTGGAATAGAGTATTGTTGAAGTAATTAGAAGATATATTAAGGTGTTCCTGGTAATGAAGGCATGTAAGTTATAATAATTGTAGCTTTCTGAATAAGTGTCAAACTATATCTTTAAGTGTGCTGTATGCTGAGTTACAAGTTAGGTCATTTATGAATGAAATGTAAAACAATACTAAAACTGCTTCAATAACTTATCTTGGTCTTGCTAATAAAAAAAAAGCTGTGAAACATTAGTGTAGTTTTGAGTCATTATGTTAATCCCTCCCCCACCTCTACCCCTGGACATCCGTCCGTCCGTTGGACGCCTCAACAAGACGTTCAGGCAAGACTCGCATGGCTCCTTGTGCCCTTGGCAGGGCCACCTGTCGCATTTCCCCGTGGGTCTCTGGGTGGGCTCTGTGCACAGTAATCCACGAGAGGGGTAGGATGACTGGCTGATTGGGGCGAGGAAATGGGCAGGCCTGCAGCTGTCAGGACCAGTGACTCTTAGGTGCCCCGCTCCCCCGTCTCCCCCCACTCCATGGCGCCTCCTGGGATGTGAACAGAGGGCAGCCCGGGACAGGGAGTTGTTCTAGCACTGTACAGGGCTGCACTCCAGATGGAAAACAAACCGTCCCGTGCCAGCGAACATTCACATTTCCCTTTCATCCTAAGAGGGGTCATTTTCATGGACCGAATACTTGGAATTCCTGGACCTTGGGAATACTTCGGTTCCACTAAGATCTTTCGATTTTGCTTGATCCTGTGCTCATGGTCCAGGTTGGTGCCCCAGCCCCCAGCCCCCAGCCTACCTCATGCTTGAGGAACACACAGGAAGGACGGTTCTGGTACTGTTTTGTGTGGACTTCGTTTGCCCATGCGTTGGACTTTAGAGTCCTGCTAGCTCAACGATCCCACCAAGCTTCTTTGTGTGCATTTTAGAAGCTTCAACGTTCTAGATACTTTGTTTTCTTTTCTCTCACCTGTCCTGTGAGAGCAAGGTCTCAAGTCACCCCCAAGGCCCAAGTCTGTCCTCTCCTCCCCACAGAAGTCAGATGTTCTGTGTGGGAGCGATTGTGACCCAAGCATCAGGACGGTGGGGTCTGGACTCGCATTAGGCTGTCTCTAGCGCAGGAGGTGGCTGGAAGTGAGGGGACTTGAGCTAGAGGGTACGTGCTGAGATCCCAGGTGGAAGGGACCGAGCCTGAAGCGGAGCATGCATGCATGCCGTGGGTGCCCATGGAAGATGGGGGCGGTCCCACAAGGTCTCAGCAAGGTGGGGCAAAGTGACCCTTGCCACCGGGCCACTAGGCCAAGGACACCCCACCAGGGTCTCACTGACCAACGCCTGCAGCCTAGGGAGATGGGCGGGGAGGAGAGGACCTAGTAGCTGGCTGCTGGGGGGCCCACAGCCTCTGACACAGCCCCTGGCATTGCCGATTGTTGACAATCACTTTCCATGCCCCCACAGCATGTCTGGTTGGGAGGGGACTCAGAGTGGTGGGCTTGGGGGCAGGGGCAGTTCTGAACCATGCAGGAAGGAGAAGGCACTGAAGGGAACGGAGCTGGTGGTCCCGCGCTGACGGAAGGCTCCCTGGAGCCACATATCCAGGCGGCTGCTGTTCTCACTCCCCTCCATGAGCCCCCCCACCCCACCCCCCTGCCTTGGGGTCTCAAAGCTGGAGGATGTACCGGCAGCGTTTCCGCTTCTAAAGCAGGGGGTATTTCCTGAGTCGCTCCCGAAGGGGGACTTTTCAAACTTAAAGGAGACCTTTGTGGATTCTTGTTCTCCCATTTTTCTATGCTTAGTCCCAGCTTGCTCCCACCCTTCATCTCACCGCACCCACCTCAGCATGTCTCACACTCCTCTGTCCCCCCACCCCCAATTTGCCATCCAGCTCGTCATCATTTCCCTGTCTGGGTAATAACTTCCCCCACCCAGCGAGCTTCCTTGGGCACATATTCGCTGCTGGCTGAGAGAGCGCTGGGCGGACCCAGTCCCTGGAATGAGCTGGTGTCACTTCATGGCTCTGCCTGGGGCTGAGATTCTGTTTCCTGCTGGTCTCTCCCTTCCCCCATGAGAGTATAACAAACCAGACCTGTTGGAGCTCAGACTTCGGGCAACCGTAAGCGTCACTTACTGGATTTGCCTGTGAATCTACACCTCCAACCTTCCCAATCATAGGGGCCCACTGGTCTGAGAGGGAGAATAAACTCCATTATATATCAGAGCAGGGTCCAAGGAAGTTTCTGGAACTTCAACTTCCAGGGGGCCAACAAGGGAAAGGTATCCTGAAACTTCTACTCGGTGGGAGTCTTCACATCCCCTCATTGGCACAGTTCGGGAAGTATTTTTGCTTTTTGTTACGATGAAATTTAGATAGTCTGATGTGGGAAAGAGTTTTGATTTTGGAAGATAATCAATACTCTGATATACACCCTCTCACCTATTAACAAGGTTAGACGCCAAAGATCAGGTCATTAGATGAAGGTTGATGACACACACACACACACACACACACACACAAATGGAGGGAGACCACGTCAGGTCACAAAATGGGGGATGTGTGCTTTGTCCCATCACTGCCAAACCTCTGGGAATCACGGCACAGCCACGTTGGCACATCCTACCACAGCCAGTATCACCTGCCTCAGGCTTCCCTGGTGTCAGACGGTCAGCATTCAGGCGCACAGTGGTTGAGAGCAGAGGTTTTGCTGTGGATACTGAGGCAGTGAGGAGCGCAGGCAGTCCCTTCCCCCAGGAAGCGTCTCGATGGATAGATGGATAACTCTCACCCCTGAAGGAGTAGCCGCACACTACCGGTATTCCCCGAGCCCGAGCAGACCCTGCCCCTGGAGCAAACAGGGTGCATATTGAAGGGTGAAGTTGGGGGGCTCTGCATAGAAAGTGCACTCACAAAAACATCCATGTGCACACACAGACATCGGCTGGCTTCACTGGGAGTTTGTCTTTCACACTCTTTGTGGAGTGGTCCAGACACGGGCCTCTCTAATGGTAACCCACGGCTCACAAGGTTAAGTTTTCTTTGTGAACTTCTGTTGTTGTCAAATTAACATAATATGCTCTCAATTATCCACATTAAAGGGGAAAAGCAACCAGGCGGGGAAAGCAAATTTGTAATTAATTTACCAAATTATTGCTCTTTTCATACCACGGGCAAGTTTCTTTTCTCCTTTTGAGTTTTGTATGTTCGGCAGAGGGTTGGGGCACACTACCACAACAGGCCCTTCCAAGGAGGACCCCACACCTGGGGAAGTGCTGGAATCGGGCCTTTAGACAGGACGTGAGTCATTGTGGGTTCATTACTATGGCCAGCTCATTCTTGTCCAAGAGAGGAGCCATGGGCCCTTTCCGCCCTCGATATTCCTTTGCCGAGACAAGGACTGAGAGCTGGGCACTGGGGCAGAGAAGGGAGGAACCCCAACAAGGTATTGTTAACAGGAGCGTGACCACTATGGGCAACCAGGACTCAACCAGTATTATTCCCCAGAAGCGCTCTGCATGTGTCAGGAGCCAGGGTCACTTCAGAGAAAGCAGCCTTTGGAATGCGCAGGGAAAGAGGGGGGCACAGGCAGCAGCTACTTCCAGTGGGAATCCCCTGGCCTGGCAGCATTTACATTCTTCTCTGTCCACGGGAGAAGGCCACAGATCTGCAAAAGCAAGGATGGCTCAGTTGCGCACTAGGCATTCCCTAGTAGGAAGTGGGGTGCAAACTCTGCATACTGAGAAGTGCACAGCCTCTCAAGCTAAGGGACAGGTGGATGAGACTGGGCTGTCAGACACCAGATGCAGAGCCACAGGGCTGTCCTGCAGAGCTAAGGGGGTGCGCTCACCTCTCTTCTTGGAGCCCCAGCTCAGAGAAAGGAGAGAATGGCTTCTAGGGTCCTGGGAGTCCTTCACTCCTCAGGACCATCCACTCCCGCAGCCCCTACCCGGACACCCAGTGTGGGAGCCACGGGGGCCTTCCCACCGGGACGGGAACAGGTGGGCTTTCATTTCTGACCCGCTGCTCTTCCAGGGTTTGGGTCATGTGAGTACGTACTTCTTATGGAGACATTTCTCTCACATCACAAGGAGACCGTTGAGGAGTTTCTCGTATCATTCCCGAAGTCAGTTAAAAAGGAACAGCAGCGAAGAAAGCAAGAGAAGTCAATGAAGCTAGAATTTTACTGTCAAGGAAAACTCGATTATTTAACTCCTTAAAAAAAATTAACCTGTTTTATTCACAACACAGCCTCCAGCGGTGCTTTTCATAATTATGAGGGTTTCCCCAGACACGTTACCTACACCACTGTTAGCCCAGTGTGCCCCTGCAGGGTGTCTGTGTCTCGTGTCCACTCACGATGCTTACCGGCGCTGGGTGCAGAGCGGAGCGCTCAGTCCATGCTCCATCATGTCTGCCCGGTCCAGAGACAGCCCACTGCTCCTCCCTCCCTCCCTGCTTCCTACCCACGTGTTCCGCTTCAGAGTTCCCTTAAAAATCTCAAGTTCCTCTTGCCTACCAAGACCCTCCGACGCTGGAAATAAAACAAACTCAAACTCTCTGCCCTCTCTGGGGTTCTCGAGGAAAAGGGTAGAGCTGCCCCAGTCGGTTTCTGAGCTGGTGGGTCCTCACTGCAGCAGAAAGACTCCCCACTGACCTTTGGTTAGGAGCCCAACTCGTAATCCACCCTACCGCCGGGGCTCCATTAGGTTTGGAACACTATGCTTTATTTGCAAGTGTGAGCCCTTTTTACTTCCGCTGACATGGCTAATCATAGACATGCTTGAGCTCAATTGCCTTGGCTTGGTCACCCATTAGAGGAGACACTGCTTCACCCTCAAGATAATGCATCGGAGAGAGCAAGGAAGGAGAATGTCAGAAAACCACCCATTTTCAGTTATTATAGCTTCTCCACAGCGATTCAGGCCCCGGGCAGAGACCCGTGACCTCTCAGGACCCTGCCGAGCTTGCCGCCAGGCTGGGGAATCTGAGTAGGGCACGCCTCCTCCCTCTTTGTCACCAGTTGAAGGGCTCGGTGTCAATGGCCTACCAGGGATGCCTGTTTTCCTAAGGGAACCCCTTGGGAAGTGAGTGGGGGACATGCAGGAGGGATCCGAGGAGACTCTTCTCAGGATGTGCGCGAACACCCTCTTGGGCTCCAATGGAGTGATTACTCATTCTGCTAATGGTCTCCAGGCGTGAGGATTAGGAGTCGGCTGGCTGCCTTGCCTTTTCATCAATAATGGCCC